TAAGAAAAAATTCTCTCCGTGTATAATAAAATAGAGAAAATTTATAGATTATTAAAAAAATTAAAATAAAATTATATAAATATAAAAATCTATATTAAAATATAATTTTATTGTGTTGATTCATTGAAACTTGTGTGTAATTAAAAGACAATTATTATAAAAGAGATAAAATTAAGAATTTTAATTTTTTCATTAAAAATATGTTATTTATTATAGAAAAAATGAGATATCCGATAAATTTTTCGTTAAGAAATTCAAAAAAGAAATTTGAAAATTAGATTTAATAGGTCATATAATTTTATATATGAATCTATCCTTTCATAAAAATATAATAATATATATTGCGAGTAAGGTCAACTATTTAATTATAGGTGAAATGAGCAGTAGCGGTGGATTCGGCGTCGGCGCCGGCGGACCGACCCTCGCGGCCGCTCAACAAGGTCAAGGAGTGGCCGCCCTTATGGTGATGCTTGCCGTTCTGTGCTTCATCTTTGCTTATTGCTGTTGGGGCGCGCCTTTCTGTCGATCCCTATGCAGACGACATTGCTGCTGTCGTCTGGAAGATCCTGATCCGGATCTACAATTCGGCGGCAGTGACCAAGCCATGGTAGCAACGCCGACAATCATCCTCCTGCCGCATGGTAGAATGCTTGTTGTTGACGGCACAATTTTCACTCAGTTCCAGACTGATCCTACTACAGGTAAAATTTAGGATTTCTGAAATTGAGGAAAGCGACTACTCGAATAGAGGAAATTAAAATAGTAAAATCAGTCATTTAGAAAATAATGTAGATGATTAAAAAGTAAAAAAATAAATTTGCCTGTAAATTAAAGATGACATTAAAGAATTTCTTGGACTGCGTTCCACTTGGCGTTCACAATGCTCTTTGAATCATTTCGTTCTTATTGTTTATCAAATGTTAAACAAAGACAAATGATGCTCCCCAGCAATGTGAGCCAAGTAGAACGCATCCTTGATAATACGCATATATCAAATACATCACGTATAAAATGAGCGAGAAAATGTTAAATTTCGTAGTTTTTAAGTGAAGAGTCTGCAATAAAAGAATTTTAAAATAATCTACATCGTTTCTTAAATATATATGATTTGATAAAATCATATAGAGAATTAATACATATAATATTTTGCTATAAAATTTTTATTACAAAATTTTGATGATTTTCTTTAGAATAAATAAAACGGGTATAAAATTTTTGACAGGTATAGACCTGGTGGAACTTGGCGATAGTATGTTGCGAGCTCAGAGAAATCCACGAAGCGTAAATCGTCATCAGTTACAGAGCAGTCAAGGCAGTATCCTCGAAATGGATGCTGAAACACCTAGCAAAGACAGCTTAGGTTCCGTCGGATGTTTCCCGCCGCCTACTTACGAGAGTATTTACGGCAAAGAGGAAACTGACATGCCTCCTTCATATTCTGACATTCTTTTACACAGGTACATTATTTTGAAATAAATCAGAAAATTATTTTTAATTTTATTAATTATTAATAACTATTTTATTATTTATCAACATTTAATTGTTTGAAATTTAACTCAATTCGCAGATTCGCCAATTTACCGCATGAAATTGATATGCATGGTTATTGTCGTGATGGCAAGGAAGAGATTGAGATGCAGAGTCTAGACAATTGTCCGCATATCATTGGTAATCCGTTGAACTCGATACCTGGATATCATCCTTATGCCACGGTGACAAGTCTGTCTAGTCTGCAGAGCTACCCGCGACGGAATGTTTCGCGCAATCCGTCCATTATCAGCAATCCATTAGACAACTTTTACGTGGACAACGAGCTTAGTCTCTATCGACTCAGTCGGGAGACGATGCCTCGGGTTTCCAGTAACGATGCGAACCTCGAGAACTTCCGCGCGTCTCACGACGAGATGTCTTTCCGCGTTCCGCTCGATGAGAACGAGAATCATCGGCACGCAAGCCGTAACAATTATCAAGTCGCCGGCAATGAGCTGATGAATACGAGGAATCGCGCCCGCAGCGCTTCCAGGTTGAGCCAGGATAGTCGCAGGAATTCATTGAATCGCGATGGAGACCAACATCAAGTTTTCGTCAGATTGCCTGATCCCGAAGAGATCGAGGCTGCGCGAGATAGACGTATCGATGAAGATCAGCGACCTCGAATGTACCGCGAGGATCAGAACGCGAGGAACCTGCATCTTGATCATCCCCAATTGCAAGATGAGATCAATCGCAACATTGTTGAGGATGATCCCAGATACTTTGCGAGGAACAGGCGACTGGAGAATGAAGACAGGAATCAGAACGAAGCTGAGGCAGTTCAGTATCCCGACGAGGAGGCCGGTAATTTCGGCGCGCTCGCCGATATTCGTGAGAGCAGAGTGTAATCTAGACTTTTAATTGTGCGTTCGCATTTTTTTCGGGTGATTGCTAAAAAGGGCATTAACCGGATATTGTCAGAAATGCTTCAAAAGCACTACGTAGAAAATTTCATTCGATTCTTCAACAACAAGAACGTAGTTCAAATTTGAAGAAACGTTTATGACCAAAAAATAATTGCCATCTTCATCATCTTTATGAGCTTGTTAAGAATGTCGTAGTGTTCCTGCAGTTTATAATTAACGTTAACATCTTGTTTTAATTTCGTGAATTAAGGGAATTATTTCGTGCCCTTTATACCATGTGAATTTGATATACAACATCTCGCACGATAGATAAAGAAAGTTGCGTGACAAGACAACTTAACAGAAATTGCGACAAATTTCTACGTTAAGTTATAGGGTATTGTTTCAATCATATTCACACACAAATAAGTTGATATCCAGAATTAAGAATTATGGAAATCGAGTCAAGAAGTTGTGGTTACAAGATAAATATTGCATTGTGCAGAAAATATAAGACGATGTTATAACTGTATATGTATATATATATGTGACAATATAATTGTACGTGACAGTCTAGTAAAATTCGTCACACATACACGTACATACACACACACATGCATATTTCTGACAGATGATCGTACAGTAAAGAACAACGATTTTTTCTTGAAAGTATAATATATGGCGACCAGAAAAGATTGGAAAGAGAAAAAGGAAAAGATAAAGATAATCATAGGTTCTTTTGAGATATATTGGATAACGTGAAATATTGAAAATATCAAAGTACAGTTTTTATAAAATAAAGATAAAAATTTCAATCATGCGATAAATTATGTTACGTAATCGAAGTCCTTCCTGACAAGAAAACATCGATCACAAGAAGTTAGCAAAAATCGAGCAGTTTTAAATGTGAACGTTTGTATGGGAAATATTGTGTTTAAATCTAACAAACGAATCATAGCAAAGTTAGTTCAGTCCGTCCAGGCTTTAATAAGCGCGCTTAAGTTTCACAAGCATCACCCGCAGCAATTTAATCATGATTAGCGATTTTCTTCCCCTTGATATTTTATAGATAAGCTAAACAGATATCATGACCATTAAATAGTTGTTATACCATTAAAAAAATAGTATGTTTCTTATATTATTTATAGAATACACTCTCCTCACTATTTTTAAATGGTACTATCCATTGTGGATACATCGAACGATTTTAATATTTGCGAAAAGTGATAAAACGGAAATCTCTGACAACTAAAAAAGAAAATGAAATAAGGTGTAACGAAAATTTATATTAAGAAAAACAGTTAAGTGAAATTGTATCACATATTAGTATGGAGTTTCAGGAACCAAAGATCTGTATTGAAATTGGATTATCAGAGATACAGCAAAGTATCAAAACGTCAAATCGAAGCATATTTCAGAAAGTGAATGGTTGGCTTTAGATACACTTCTTACGTACATATATACGTGTAAGATAATTATAAAAGGAATATAAAAGTTATACACACGTTATCACTGTTACCGTGTATCATAGGGACAAATCACTGACCGAGAGATACTGAGAATAAAATTCTGTGCGTGAAGCACATATAAATACTGTGTGCCTTCCTAGTTTTTAGATTGCTAAATGAACAATATATAGACAACAGAATTTTTCGTTTTACAATAGCTGATCATTTCGACCAAGCTCTTTTTCTTCCTTTATTTTGAATCTAATCATAATAAAACGATAAGAAGCAACTTATTTTGTAAGATATAATGTTCTATCGAAAAGGAATATCCCCTTAAATATAAACGATCAATATATCAATAAATTAATAAATATCAATATAAATTTTGTTTCTGATAACGAGAAATATAGTTTACATTGTACATACATATTGTTATATTTAATTATAATGTGAATGAATACTGACGCGTAGAAAACAGAAGGCAAGGCCAGTTATACTCTATGAATGCACAAATCTATACTTAATTTATACTTAATTTTTTGCGGGGTTTCTGTTCAGTCACCACTACTATCTCAAGTCGTGACGTCAAAAACGAGAAAATACAATAAAAATTCTTGCAAATTAAATTATACTTAAATAGAAATAGTTTAAAACATTTACAATCAACAGAGTAGATTTATATTAAGATACTGAAAACTCTTTTTATTTCAGGGAGAAGTTAAACTATATTTATACCTCTATATTATTAACTATATCTTATTAATTTGATAGTTTGTCAGAACTATGAATATAATTTATTTCGTTTTTAGTTATATATATTCATAATTCATTTTTAGATATATAGTTATTTATTAATTAACGAAAACGAAAGAAATTTCCGGTATACTTTACAAGTCTGTCTATTATGTTTCAATGAAATATATTTTCATTTTAATGTATTTTACAAGAATTTTTTTATTTTTATTTTTCATTTTTGACGTCATAATTTAAGATAATGATGAGCAAACAAGAATCTCAATTCGTATTATTTAGATATGACAGTCAACTTGTAGTCGACGTTTCCGATTCCGATCCTGTCATGTATGATTTGGTTTTACAAGAGATTTATTGGAAAGTTGAAGGCTACGAGTAAAGGAATAATCCATTTCGAAAATCCATAGTTCATTTACAATTCACAATATTTACATGTTTATTCCAAGAAATATCAATGCAGTTAACTATGTACACAAGTGATATCGACATTTTTATGACTAATTGTAGTTATTTAAAAGTATAAAAAAGGAGAAAGATCTTATTTTTAATCTACATCGCTATTTATATCCTCAGGAGCTGAAGAATCTTCTTCTTCTATGTTCTTCTTGTCCCAGTCTTTCAACTTAGCTCCCATAACAAAGTCATCTCGAAGAACACTCCACATTTTGTGATCCTTAAAACAAACATGTTTCTATTGTTATACATAATTGTACATTGCAATGTAAAACAGAATGTACCAATATCAATAAACACAATTATATATGGCCTTCATATAAACGCATTCAAAAATTTAATGTTTATTAAAAAGAGGTAAGATAGTATATTAGTTATTTTTTTAATACTAATATAAAAATATTGAACATGTTACTATCAACCTAATTTATAATATTCATAATATTTATTTATACTTTCTTATACGTAAAGAAAATTTTCTCACTTTGTCTTTATCATCTGTCTGCTTAACAGGCTTTTCAGATTTAACAGCATTATCAATTGGTATGCTTTTACTGCCACCCATAAGAATATCAAGGAAGGTGTTTTTGTCAATATTCTTGAATACTTGTTCGCGTTTTCTTTCTAATGGACCCGCTTGCGATAATTTCGTTTTAATTTCCACTTGTTGCTGTCTTACTGCATTAAACAGTTGCACCACTCCTCTGCAAAATACAGCATGAATTTATCAACGAATAAATGATAGAAAATTTACAAACCTAATACTAACTTTGTAGCTATTTTTTGCAACATTCTTTCATGCTCCCGATCTGTAATGGATGGTTTTATTCTGATTTTTATTCTTGATTTAGTCGCAGTTTTCAATGTAACACTTGTCTTATCAATATCTTCTTCTGATTCTGATTTGATCTCCTCTTTTATGCCATCAATCTCAAAAGAAATATCTTCTTCTTTCTTTTTTATTTTCATATCGCACAACTTCTTTGCCTTAGCCAATACAAGTGTTTTTTTTCTCTTCGGTTTGTTTGTTTTTAGAATCTTTTGCATAACATCAGCCCAACCTGCATTTGTAGTAGGTCCGGCATCATACGATGCCTCATCTGTGTCAGCCTCCATTTCTTCACTGTCATCTTCTTTCTCATTTTCTTCGTAGTCGCTGTCATCTTCATTATCACTCTGTGCCAATGCCGTATCAGCATTGTTTACTTTATCCGTCTGCACTACAAGATACAAATTCAACTCGGGACTTTATCAAAGTGATTCTTAGAATATTACAATCGATAATAACAATGATAGAGGATGGCATGTGGCTCCATGAGAGAGCATTTGACTTATATAATTGACGAGTCCCAGGTTCAAGTCCTGATTCCCATCCCATGATTAAAAAATGGAGATTGTAAACGAAAGAGTATATAGATTCCGTATCATGTTTTAAAAACTCATATTTCAATAAAATAAAAATATAATTTAATATATACATATATAACCTATAATACCAAAATATATTCTTTTTCATATCAATTAGACATCAAAATCTGTGATATCAACATTTTTCTTCATTTTCTCAATTATGTATCGAAATCTGTAATATATCAAGATTCTTCTCAATCATTCTTAATATACATCCAAATCATTTCAGAAATGATCTTTGATGGACCCATCAACTTGAAGGTATGTCAAAAAGGATGAAATAAAGTGTTTTATACAAATCAAATTATTTTCGTCGCACTATACATCGCTTTATACATTCAAATTGTTATTTTTTTTATCGAAATACTTATCAAAAATGGATTAATTGTTTGTGTCATATTCCTTTAGTCTTCAATCAACCCTAACCGAGGCATGTATGAAATAGAACAGAAGTCAAAATTAAATCCAGGACCCACTGACTATGAATTGACCGTTTTTACACAGATCCACGTAGCATCCTTTTACTTATTTAAATAATCTTGTATAATCTCTTACTTGATACAAGGTACAGGTAAAAATGTGATATACACCGAATTATTTTATTCCAAGTACTCCAACTCCAATGGCTTCAAACATAACCACGTGGTCGTCAACATGAGGTCTGTTCGCGTTGCTTGCACTTTTGACACTCGGTATCTTTGCTTTCTCTCTTTTCAAGGCCAAATATATATCTATCTCATTTTAAGTGCAAAAATATTTGGGGATTTCATGCAACGCGAACAGACCTATGGTGAAAAAAGTATCAAGATTCTCTAGGGAATTTTAAATTGTTCTAGCAGAGAGAAACCTGAGAGAGGATATGAAGCCTTTTTTCTGTAACCGCAAAATGCCGCCGCGCACTACTGCCCTCTGAAGAAGTGGATATAAACTGCACAAAAATATCCAGTTTTTTTACGGTGTTTCTGATGGAAATAAATCGATAAAATAATTAAAATCTATGAAATTATTAGAGATTCAGGTTTCTCTCTGCCTGTATTCATAAGGTTTATCGCGTCGCAAGCTCCAACATGTTCCAACATGCTCCTACCATAGTTCCTACTTTGACGCTACAAATGCTTCGAAGCATTCTTTGATTAGTCAATTCGTAAAATTCTTTGTTCTGATTGGTCGTTCAAACGTTTCGAAGCGTTTGTAGCGTCAAGTGGACCGCAGCCTAAAGGTACCTTTTCATGCTGACGCTCGAAGCTCATTTTCAGCGTCAAAATAGATCATTTGATCAAAATTGACGCTTGATATTTGTCAATGTCTATCAAGTGACTTATTTTGACGCCGAAAATAAGCGTCGAGCGTCAGCATGAAAAAGTACCTTTATATATATGGCGTCAACTGACGCCTATGAAAAAGCACCTTCAATGTTATTTATGGGTTCTTAAATGAAAATTTCAATTTCACAAATCTTACTGGAAATAAAAGTTGCTGAATTTTAACCAACTGGAAATTGAATATTTAAACATTCATTTAGCGAATTTTGTCTTATAATACGTGCCTGCTCAAAAACGGAATTACGAAGTTATATGTTTTTTTATGCAGATTTTCAGCTCGTTTTTGCCAAACATAATTATTAGTATGTAAGTATATTCCAAAGTCTCTATAATTACTTATATAATTATAGAGACTTTGAATACACTTCAAACTTTTCCAATCATATATCGTTAATTTAAAGCTTAAGTTAGCAAAAACAAGCTAGAGGCCCTCCACCACCCCCTTTTTGGTCCTCTTTTCTTTGTAAGTATACTCATCCATAAAAAAAAACGAGCTACTAATAAATTTAGTAGTCCGTTTTTGCAGATAAGTATATTTTAAATTTATTTTTTATTTTTATGTGTAATTATTTTATTGTATTTTGCTAATCATATTGCATTATGACACGATAAAATAATTAGCAATCATATTGCATAACTTTTTTAATCTTTTATTGTAATTCTTTATACATTCAATAATATAATAATAATTGTTTACAATACAATGTACAATTGTAAATGCTGTTCGAAATATAATAAAAATTAGGTATATTATAGGAACATAATTAACAAAATTTAGTAATGCGGGATTATACGAAAACGTCGAAAATACATACGATAACACAAATTTTTCTAAACCAATGAAATATTAATAA